TCTTTTTTAGTAACACTTACAGTGGCGCTATTATGTTTCTAACTAAATCAAGTACTTATTACCAATGGAAGAAACGATACCATAGTATTTTTGTGTAGTTCTGAAAACGTTAAAACAACTGTATAAAATTGTAGTTCATAAATAAATGAGTAGAAAATACCACGAGGAATTGATGATAAAATCTGTCATCATGAATTTAAGGCTCAGGAATTCTATCACCAGTGTTGTGTTTAAAATGTTTTTTATGGGAAGTTGATGCGCCTCCAAGTGATACTTTTATGTAAAAGTGACCTTCTATTCAACTTTGATTAAATAAGTAATAGTGTTTTTTAGACCAAACTTTAATCACGACTGAAACATATTTCTTAACTCCAAAGTTTGAGTGCTTAGCCTTAATCAAGATGTTTGGATTTCCAATCTAACACTTTTCAAAGCTGAGAAAAACATTTCGAGGAACACGTTGATGTTAATATATATTTTATGGATTTATTCGTGATGAACATTTTAATATATATATATATATAAAGAAAAAATTATAATACATTCAGTTATTAATTGTAATAAAGCTGTTGAAATCTTTTATCCCAGCAATATCATCCGAAAGAGCAGTTAGAAAACTAAGGAATTTTTAGTTAAAATATTCATGTAATTAATAATGGTGAAGTTTTGACCTCTACAGTTCTCACAATATTCATAAATTGATAGCACATCTGATTACTATTCGTACCTCCAGAGAAACAGTTACAGGCCAAACTCGCTTTCTCTATATAACGATACACATGTAGTCGTGAGTTGCCAGAGCCTTCAATGTTAATGAGTTAGTAACCAAACATCACATACTCAGTTTGTTGGTTGACCTTAATGTATACGCTGTGGTGCAATGCATATCGTATTACTTACAAAAACTTTGCTAATATTTCAAGAGTCATCTTACACTACTTTGCCTGGAAATCGCATCTGTGAACAGATACGTACAATTTTCGTGGAGTTCGAGATTGGGTCATTTTATTGAATGCTTATTGACTATAGATAGACTTGTTCGGTACAGTTTGATATCAAATTTCACGTTGAAGATCACGTGGCGAGGAGTGGCTCACTTACACAACATCGGGGTGTCAGAGGGCCTGGTACTGATATCATGGATAGATATACACTGTATTCTCTAAACCAAATACAGATTGATTTGTTTTAGGTGCAACTTAATATTTCTAGGCATAGAATTGATTACAGTAAACGAGGAATTCTATTTTTTGTTTTAGAGGAAGAATTGGTGTTTGACAAATAATGTTTGAAATTAAATTTATAATTACATAAAACGCAGTTTACTTTTTAATTTCGTTACATAAATGGCATTCACTTCTTATTTCAATGTACACAGCATGGTCACAAGAAAATAGACACCACCTTTTCAGAAAAAAATGAAATT